TAGTCGTTCACTAAGTGGATTTCAATAATAAAAACGATCAGTAGTTATATTCCCGCAGGTCTACACTAATTTTTAATGTTTTAGGCCTCTGAACTGTGTGTGTCTGACACCGAAGGGAAGCCCACCCCTCAAGAAAAACCAGTTTTATTCGATTTCAATTTTCCAAATTCGTATTTGAGCTGAAAATGCTCCTTAAACATGAGAAACATGACAATAAATAGCCTCAGGTTGAGGCAACATGCATCATCTTCGAAATCAATGTCATAAAGTTGACCTCTAAAAGTATGGAGAGCCATTGGAGCCAAATAACGGTAGTTTGGGTAATCCCGTCATATGACGGTCACCGTATGGTAAGGGTTAACATTTACCAATGAAACATCTAAATGAGGTCAAGGTCAGATAATTCATGCCAGAGACATGCACACCTGACAAACCTTCCATACACCAAATTTATGATATATTGCTTATAGTGTAAAAACAAGAGTGCACACGTTGAAATGTCTCGCCTACTTTACTACATGTACCATTGATTTTATGTTGATAGCCCTTAATATAAAGTTTTCCTACAAGTATCACATTAACTTATCATGACCCAACAAAATGAGGTCAAGGTCAGATTAACCAAGCCAGAAATATATGTACACCTTACAATCATTCCATACATTGAATATAGTTGACCTATTCTTATAGTATTCAGGAAACAGACCAAACCATGAAAACATTATATTGACCAATGAACCATGAATATGAGGTCAAGGTCATATGAACCAGACAGACATGTACACTTTACAATCATTCCATACACCAAACAGTTGACCTAATGCTTATAGTTTAGACCTACCGAATTAGACTATTTACCGGATTTGTAATAACATAAGCAACACGACGGGTGCCACATGTGGAGCAGCATCTGCTTACCCTTCCGGAGCACCTGAGATCACCCCCAGTTTTTGGTGGGGTTCGTGTTGCTTAGTCTTTAGTTTTCTATGTTGTGTCATCTGTACTATTATTTGTCTGTTTGGTTTTTTTTTGGGCCATGACGTTGCCAGTTTGTTTTCGATCTATGAGTTTGACTGTCCATCTGGTATCTTTCGTCCCTCTTTTTTAAGAAAAACGGACCAATACACAAAAAGTTAACATTGAGCAATGAACTGTAAAAATGAGGTCAAGGTCAAATTAGTCCTGCCAAACTGACATGTACATTATTTTCCATACACCAAATATAGCTTACCTATTGCATACAGTATTAGAAAAATAGACCAAAAAACAAAAACTTAACTTTAACCACTGAACCTTGAAAATGAGGTCAAGGTTAGATGACACCTGCCAGTTGGACATGTACACCTTACAATCATTTCATACACCAAATATAGTATACATATTGCTTATAGTATCGGAGATATGGACTTGACCACGAAAACTTAACCTTGTTCACAGATCCATGAAATGAGGTCGAGGTCAAGTGAAAACTGTCTGACAGGCATGGGGATTGTTTGAGGTATGCACATACCAAATATAGTTATCCTATTACTCATAATAAAAGAAAAATTAACATTATAAAAAGTCTTAACTTTTTACTGAACCATGAAAATGAGGTCAAGAACAAAGGACATATGACAGACGGAAACTTCATAACATAAGGTATCTATATACAAAGTATGAAGCATCCAAGTCTTCTACCTTCTGAAATATTAGCTTTTAAGTGGTTAGTGAACGCCGCCTGATCACTATACCTATATTGAGCTTTCTGCGGCAAGTTGCAGGCTCGACAAAAAAACAGACACAAACACAAAAACTTAGCATTGACCAGTGAACCAGACTGGCATGTACACCTTACAATAATTTCATACACCACATATAGTTGACCTACTGCTAACAGTATCTGAGAAACAGACTCAATCATGTAATTTTTACCTTGATATGAGGTATAGATCAGATGAACATTGTCTGATAGACATTGAGACCTTGCAAGAAACTCATATACCAAATAAGTGAGAAATATACATGACAAAAAAATAAACATTTTTCTTTAAGCAGTTGCTTAACCATTAAAATTAGGCAAAGGACAATGGACATACGACAGATGGAACATTCATAAAATAAGGTATCTGTTGACAAAGTATGAAGCATCCAAGACTTCTACCCTCTGAAATGTGAAGCTTTATACAAATAGTTTAAGCCGATTGTGATCCTCATGTCTTGCATTCTGTGACTTGTGTTGAAGGCAAAACAAAAATGATGCGAAGGTCCAATTCTGGTAAATTATGTAAAGTACAAATTGCCACCTTACTTTGGTTAAATAATATATCAATATATATTGATAATCCTTTCTTTTTAATTCCAGACAGCTGCATTAAAGGGCAGAGATCATAATATTAACACGAAAAAATGAAAAATAAAAAAACAACAAAATTCAAGCAAAATGAAAAAAAAATAATTAAAAACTGACATTTGCAAAAAAAATCCGCCAGAATGAATTCTTTTTGAACATTCATTACCAAAAACTTAATTTATTAACTCATTATAATCTGAATTTGGGTTGCCACATAGTTTTATTATAATAGTTCTCAATGATAATGACATCATTTTCAAGTTTACTTTAGTTGTATATGTAAGAAAAAAGATTTTGCCCAAGTTTTTCACAACTTAACTTGATGATTATTTCTGTTTATTTAGTTTTTATATGTTTTTACAAAAATCTTTTCTGTGAACAATTCATATTTGTTTTGGAGTCAGTGTTATTTGTCAGAGTAATTGAAATATTCTATGGAAATTCTTGATGCTTTTAACAAGCCCAAAAGGAAAGAAACTAAAATTTAATATAATTTTGTTTTTGTATTTTGTTATTGAACTTAAACTTAATGCTATCTGGATTTAGAATTAATTAGGAATTAAATATATAAATAAAAGAACAGAGTTCTAATGTCCCCTGCTGTTCACATTTTTTATCTATCCAAGGTAGAAGAGCAATAACTAAAAAAAGCCCTTTTTTTTGGTTCTTTATAACCATAAACTCGTTAAAAATATTTGATCAGAACTTATTTACGAAAGTGTCAAAGACATTGCTGATATAAACCTATGATATAAGTTTCATAAATTCTGGCAAGAATTGAACATATGAGAGTGCTAACAATGCAGTTTTCCATATAATCAATATTTCCAAGGGGCATAACTCTTTTAAAAGTAATTGATCAGCACTCATCTTTGAAATCATAAAAGACAGAGGATATAAACCTATATTATAAATTTCATGAATATCTGGCAAGAACTGTACACATTAGAGCACTCATAAGGCAATTTTCCATAAAAAATTTATATTTCCAAGGGGCATAACTCTTTTAAAACTTATTGATCTGCACTGATTTTCAAACTCATCAAAGACATTGCTGATATAAACCTATGACATAAGTTTCATAAAAAATCTGACAAGAATTGAACAAATGAGAGCGCTAACGATGCAATTTTTCATATAATTAATGTATCCAAGGGGCATAACTCTTTTAAATAATAATTGATCGGCACTGATTTTCAAACTTGTCCAAAACATTTTTGATATAAACCTAGGATAATAGTTTCATAAAAATCTGGCAAGAATTGAACAAGTGAGAGTGCAGCAACGGCGGGGGCATAAAAAAGTGAAACAGAATATAAAGTTATTTTCCAGAATATGAAAGTTAGTATGCCTATATTTCCCATGTAAACGGTCTGAACTATTTGATGAGATCCAATACATTATTAGTAGAAATTCAAACTTTGATGTGATTTGGTCCACTTACTTCTCATGATGATTTTGAAATTTGTTTTTTTTTTTTTGGGGGGGGGGGGGGGGGGGGTTTATTTTATCTTTTAACTTAACTTTGAACAGGAAATTTTCACATCATTTTCTGTTAATAAAATTTTATTATAAACCGAGAAAAAACATCTGGAAAGTTAAAAGCCTGTCAACATTATTCTGGTTTATATACTAGCAGAAAAAAGAAATGTGATTTTTAAATAAATAGTAAAAAATGTTTGTATTTTAGATAATTGAAGAGTATTTTTTCAGAATGTTGGAAGGTAAATCTCATCATGGTCCATGATCATAAGTTAAGGTGCAGTTAGGTGACATTTTAGTGCCATAATACCACTGTTATAACTGTTCAGGAGCATACTTCATTCTTTCAAACCAATTGTTATGATTCATGAACCAAATTTTCTTTCTGATTTTGATGTCTGGATTATGTCAATTAAATGAAACGTTATCCAATGTATCCAAATTTAAATAAAATATTACAGCAAAGACAATACTTTTTGGTCATGTCTGCAGTGTTATGAGCATCACCAGACTTCAGATCTCTGTGAGCATAGAGATCACTATATGCTTACTTTAATTTGTTAAAGCTTGAAAAGGTGTCCCTAATTGTAACAAAAATGTTTTCCTTGTTAAATAGAGATAAAAAAATGCATAATTGGTATTCCACAAAATACTGACACAACAATTTTGTGTGCAGGAAAACTTGTAAAAAGAAGCATGTGCTTAAGAATTAAGCAAAAATATGTCGTGCAGAGTATAACAGAATATTCATAATATATATAAGCAATACCTCTATTTGAATTATTTCAATTTCCCCACAAATGTAGGGAGAATAGATTGGTACATTGCTCTACTTCCTGCACTTTTTGTGTGCGATTTTGACAAAATGGTTTCCTTTTACAAATATGGCAATATATATACACATCATTTCGTAAAATGAATATCCTAAAATATATTATTGGTAAATTGCTTAACATATTATGAAGAATTTTTATCTCACTGTACTTTGTTATGTTTACTGACAATAATGGTAGAGATGATGGCTGAAATATATCTAACCATCCAATGACTATAGAGATTTTATTCCACTTTGTGTTAAATGCAGGATGAATAGCTGTTTTTGTGCTATTTTTTTTCAGATGTAAATCTTTCACATCCTACTGATCATGCACTATATACCTGGATCATAAAAAATCAATTTAAAACATTAAAATTGTAAAAGTTTAATAAGAGTAAAATACAGACTATTAATAAAGCAATTCACTATTACCATTTTGTTCCTAAACGGCTAAAGCTTTTAATCATTAAATGTTGTGTTGATAGTTTATTTTCATTTCTCATTTAGTAAAAATTTGATGGAAAAGATCCAAAAAATATGATTATATATAAATAAATGACAAGATTTATCAACATAATCCCCAAAACTAAAAATCCATATGATATTTGCGGGTGTTGAATAAAAATTCTTCTTGCAAAACAGAACTTGTTTTTCTAAATGGTCTTATTCAATAAATCATACAGTAAAAACATAAATAAACCATTAAGTAAACACATCAATCTAAAATTGATCACATGGTTGGTTGAAATAAATTCTCATTAGACGAAACTGTCATCATGAATTTTTGGCCTCAAACATATTTTTCACATCTGCTAGAGCTTTTTGAATCTGTTCTGCAAACTTCTTAGCACCCTAAAAATAATAATCATTTTCTTCAACATTTCTGTATAATAACAATGGTATTATTAAAAATCATACAAAATCAAGTACAATTGATTAACTAAGAAATTCAAAATAATGTCTAAAACAGTGAAGATCCAATAACACAAGCCCTGAGTTGTCCACTTCACAAAAGAAGGTCCTTTTCTTGGTTTATATTACATTTCCTATAAGCAGCCAATAGGCAATTTTTGGTGGGTTCGTGCTGCTCAGTCTTTAGTTTTCTGTACTGTTGTTTGTCTGTTTATCTTTTTATTTTTTAGCCATGGCCTTGTCAATATAAATAAGAAGATGTGGTATGAGTGCCAATGAAACAACTCTCCATCCAAGCCACAATGTATAAAAAGTTAACAACTATAGGTCAAAGTACGGCCTTCAACACGGAGCCTTGGCTTACACCGAACAGCAAGCTATAAAGGGCCCCAAAATGACAAGTGTAAAACAATTCAAACAGGAAAACCAACGGTCTAATCTATATAACTAGAGGCTCTCAAGAGCCTGTGTCGCTCACCTGATTCTACTTCAGTTTTGGAAATCATGTAAAAATATATCAAAATCATAACAGATACCTAATAATGAGTGAGGCCAAATTTGGTTTAATATTGGCCCTGTAATTTTTTTATTTTTTTTTTTCAGACTTTACATACTTTATTGAAAACTTTCACATTTTTTAGTTGGATACAGAAAGTACCGGTACCTTATCCCGGCCTCGTTAAACATTAGATTGTATATTTAGATAGAAAATAGTTAGTAATTGTTAGTATTCTAAATTATAAAATATATACACTATATTATTATGTATCCATTATTTCCATATTGTTCAATAAAGAGAGAATTTTATTTCCTAAAGAAAGAAAAAAGAGAAGAGAAAGTAATAAATAAATAAAAAAACAAAGAGAATAAAATGCTTCGCTGGGGCGCAGCTTGATACGACCGCAGAGGTCGAACCCTGAACAGTTGGGGCAAGTATGAACACAACATTCAAGCTTGATACAGCTCTGAATTTGGATTGTTATTAAATATTTGACACAGCATAGGTTTCTGACACAGAAAGAATGTGGTCTAAGAACTTGAATTTTTTTAATTTACCTATTATGGTCCAATGTCCAAAATCAAAATACATGGTTAGATTCAGCATATCAAAGAACCCCATATATTCAATTTTTGTTAAAATCAAACAAAGTTTAATTTTGGACCCCAACTTGGACAAACTTGAAAACTGGGCCCATAATCAAAAATCTAAACACATGTTTAGATTCAGCATATCAAATAACCCCAAGAATTCAATTTTTGCTAAAATCAAACTAAGTTTAATTTTGGACCCTTTTGACCTCAATATGAACCAATTTGATAGCGGGCAATTTAAAAAACGGGACTTAAAATTAAAAATCTAAATACACGGTTAGATTTGGAATATCAAAGAACCCCAATAATTCAATTTTTGATGAAATCAAACAAAGTTTAATTTTGGACCCTTTTGACCTCAATATGAACCAATTTGATAGCGGGGCCAACAAATAAAAAAAACTAAATTCATGGTTAGATTCAGCATATCAAAGAACCCCATATATTCAATTTTTGTTGAAATCAAAAAAAGTTTAATTTTGGACCCCAACTTGGACCAACTTGAAAACTGGGCCCATAATCAAAAATCTAAACACATGTTTAGATTCAGCATATCAAAGAACCCCAAGAATTCAATTTTTGTTAAAATCAAACTAAGTTTAATTTTGGACCCTTTGGACCTGAATGAAGACCAATTTAAAAAACGGGACCCAAATTAAAAATCTAAAAACACGGTTAGATTTGGCATATCAAAGAACCCCAATAATTCAATTTTTGATGAAATCAAACAAAGTTTAATTTTGGACCCTTTTGACCTCAATATGAACCAATTTGATAGCGGGGCCTACAAATAAAAAATCTAAATACATGGTTAGATTCAGCATATCAAAGAACCTCATATATTCAATTTTTGTTGAAATCAAACAAAAAAAAAAGTTTAATTTTGGACCCCAATTTGGACCAACTTGAAAACTGGGCCCATAATCAAAAATCTAAATACATGTTTAGATTCAGCATATCAAAGAACCCCATATATTCAATTTTTGTTGAAATCAAACAAACTGGACCCTATCTTGGACCAACTTGAAAACTGGGCCCATAATCAAAAATCTAAACACGTTTAGATTCAGCATATCAAAGAACCCTAAGAATTCAATTTTTGTTAAAATCAAACTAAGTTTAATTTTGGACCCTTTGGACCTTAATGTAGACCAATTTAAAAAACAGGACCCAAAATTAAAAATCTAAATACACAGTTAGATTTGGAATATCAAAGAACCCCAATAATTCAATTTTAGATGAAATCAAACAAAGTTTAATTTTGGACCCTTTTGACCTCAATATGAACCAATTTGATAATGGGGTCCACAAATAAAAAATCTAAATACATGGTTAGATTCAGCATATCAAGGAACCCCATATATTCAATTTTTGTTGAAATCAAACAAAATTTAATTTTGGACCCCAATTTGGACCAACTTGAAAACTGGGCCAAAAATCAAAAATCTAAATACATGTTTAGATTCAGCATATCAAAGAACCTCATATATTCAATTTTTGCTAAAATCAAACAAAGTTTAATTTTGGACCCTTTGGACCTTAATGTAGACCAATTTGAAAACTGGACCCAAAATTAAAAATCTAAATACACTGTTGGATTCGGCATAACAAATAAATAAATGTGATCAAAGATTTTACAAATCTAATGCGCCATACTGTGCAATTAAAGATTTCTTCTTGAAATTTTTCAATATTTGAAATTTGAAAAAAAAATAATATTTGAAGAATAATTTTTTTAATTTCTGAAATCTGAAATGAGAAAAAATTGACCCCCCACAATTTCTTTTTATCCCCCCCCCCTTTTTTCCCCCAAAAAATTCTTTCCCTCAAGATATGGTCATAATCTCAATTCAAATTTCCAATGGAGTTGGCAACCATAATTACCCATTTAAATTTACCATAGTGCTAACTTAATCTATTTTATAATAGAATTAAAAACATAGTGTCAAATCTTTCATATGGATTTTTTTTGTAAAAAAAAAAGATGCAACATTTGCAGATATTTTTACTGGTCTTCCTTTATAAATATGCATTTCTTTAAACATAATTTAAAAGCAGTGTAAGGGAAGTAACCAAAACGTTGTATTTGGATTACCTCCCTTACACTGTTTTAAATTATCTTTATTGTTCATTAACCATTACTTTATACATAATTTAAAAGCAGTGTAAGGGAGATAATTTCAATGATGTATTTGATTTATCTCCCTTACACTGCTTTAAATTATGTTTTGTACTAAAGTATTTGTCCATTAACCAGGACAACCTTGTTTTTCCCCCTTTTTTGTCCCTAATTCCTAAACAGTTTGAGCCATAACCCCCCAAAGCAAATCCTAACCATCCCTTTGTGGTATGGAAACTTGTAGTATAATTTCAGAGAGATCCATACACCGTTCCACAGTTATTGTCTGGAAACTAGAAAATGCTTATTTTTGGCCCCTTTTTGGCCCCTAATTCCTTAACTGTTGGTACCATAACCCCCAAAATCAATCCCAACCTTCCTTTTGTGGTATTTAACCTTATGGTCAAATTTCAAAAAGATCCATTTACTTAAACTAAAGTTAGAGTGCGAAAACCAATGTGTCTTCGGACGACGACGACGACGCCAACGTCATACCAATATACGACCACAAAATTTTTTTGCGGTCGTATAAAAAAAAAAACAAAAACAAAAACAACTAGAGGCTCTAAAGAGCCTGTGTCGCTCACCTTGGTCAGTATGTGCATATTAAACAAAGGACACAGATGGATTCATGACAAAATTGTGTTTTGGTGATGGTGATGTGTTTGTAGATCTTACTTTACTGAACATTCTTGCTGCTTACAATTATCTCTATCTATAATGATCTTGGCCCAGTAGTTACAGTGGAAAATATTTTGTAAAAATTTACAAAAATTTATGAAAATTATAAAAAATTGACTATAAAGGGCAATAACTCCTTAAGGGGTCAATTGACAATTTTGGTCATGTTGACTTATTTGTAGATCTTACTTTGCTGTACATTATTGCTGTTTACAGTTTATCTCTATCTATAATAATATTCAAGATAATAACCAAAAGCTGCAAAATTTTCCTAAAATTACCAATTCAGGGGCATCAACCCAACAACGTGTTGTCTGATTGGTCTGAAAATTTCAGGGTAGATAAATATTGACCTAATGAACAATTTAATTCTTGTCAGATTTGCTCTAAATGCTTTGGTTTCAGAGATATGAGCCAAAAACTGCATTTTACCCTATGAACTATTTTTTAGCCATGTCGGCCATCTTGGTTCGCGGGCGGGTCATCGGACACATTTTTTAAACTAGATACCCTAATGATGATTGTGGACAAGTTTGGTTAAATTTGTCTTAGTAGTTTCAGAGGAGAAGATTTTTGTAAAAGATTACAAAAATTTACGAAAAATGGTTAAAAATTGACTATAAAGGGCAATAACTCCTTAAGGGGTCAACTGACCATTTTGGTCATGTTGACTTATTTGTAGATCTTACTTTGCTGAACATTATTGCTGTTTACAGTTTATCTCTTTCTATAATAATATTCAAGACTATAACCAAAAACGGCAAAATTTCCTTAAAATTACCAATTCAGGGGCAGCAACCCAACAACGGGTTTTCAGATTCATCTGAAAATTTCAGGGCAGATAGATCTTGACCTGATAAACAATTTTACCCCATGTCAGATTTGCTCTAAATGCTTTGGTTTCAGAGATATAAGCCAAAATCTACATTTTACCCCTATGTTCTATTTTTAGCCATGGCGGCCATCTTGGTTAGTTGGCCGGGTCACCGGACACATTTTTTAAACTAGATACCCTATTGATGACTGTGGACAAGTTTGGTCAAATTTGGCCCAGTAGTTTCAGAGGAGATGATTTTTGTAAAAGTTTACGGACGACGGACGCCAAGCGGCAAGTGATGAGAAAAGCTCACTTGGCCCTTTGGGCCAGGTGAGCTAAAAAACGAGAAACAAGAAACAGCTATGAACCACACCAACAAACGACAACCACTGAACAACAGGCTCTGGATTTAGGACAGGTGCATAAAAGTTTATTTTCGCCTTATGAGATTGAATGTCCCTTTAGTATCTTTCCCCTAAAAGCATTTCTATTAACATGTCCCAAAATCATCTGGGTCTAATTTGCGCTATTTGTAAGAGCATTTTTTGTTACCATGAATGATAATATACAAATGGCTGGATGTGTCTGTGTCTAATTTAACTAACGGCAGTTTTACCACGTCTAAGACTGTGGTTTACCATCTACATCATCTGGTCTGCTAAGTACCGAACATGACCTATTCCCGAATATGACTGTTTTCCCGAGTGTGAATTCACATTGCTATTAGACGTGTCTCGGGATTTATACATCCAACATTCATGTATTTAGTTATGATGTTTCGTTTGTAATTCTGGTTGGATATTGTGTTATGTCTTTTCGTTTGTGGTTTGAATTCTTTTTTTATTTTCTACATGTATGTAAAAGTTAAGATAATTAATCAACTAGTTCATTTATATGATTTTTAGTTTAAAGCTACTATATGCACAGGATTTATTTGTTTTTACAGTTTTTATTTAGAAGAAAAACCAACATGGTTAGAAAATACAAATAATTACACCATTAATAACACAATTCTATATTAATATTCTTGTAATGTTAGAAAAAAAAACATAAAATAACACCATTACAAACTCAATCCTAATTTTATATTCTATTTTTAGAAATTTACCTGTGACGTCACTTTTTGTGGCATTGATACATTTGTGTGACGCACAGTTTATAATTCTATTGAGGTGTAAATGGGAGGTGTCTGTTGTTATTCTATGGTTTACATGTTGTAATGTACTACATTTATTATACTATTTATTTATGTATGTCTCTGTCCTCAGTGTTCTTGTGTTTAGTTGTAATGTATTCCTGTCACATAATGTTGTCATTTTAGCGGTATTTTTAACATTGCCATATAAGCGGGAGGTTTGGCTAGCCATAAAACCAGGTTCAACCCAGCATTTTTTCTTAAAATGTCCTGTAGTCTGTACCAAGTCAGGAATATGGCAGTTGTTATCAAATAGTCCATTTCTATGTATGTTGACGTTTGTTTTTGTAGCAGTTCAGTGTTTATGTTGTTCTGTTGTTTTCCTCTTATTGTTGATGTGTTTCCCTCGGTTTTGGTTTGTGACCCAGATTTGTTTCAACTAAATCAACTTATGACTATTGAACAGCGGTATACTACTGTTGCCTTTATTTACAACTAGTGTGCCCACAGTTTGGTGGATAAAATGCAACCATAAACCTGATATATACAAACATTCATGACAGTTTCACGCTCAAAATGAAAAAGAGTTCCATGGTTCAAAGAACTTCATGCTGAGATCGATTGAAGGAAAAAAAAATTCCGACCTACCAACTTTTTTTTTTAAGGTCGAGGAGGGGATTGCAACTGGAAAACATTTCTTTTAAAATTTTAATAAATATAGATATGATATTGCTAACAAAGTTATTTTATATATATGAAAAATAGTTGGTTGACCTTGCTGATATATAAGCCTTTGATTTATTTAAACTTCATAAATTCGAAAAAAAATGTAGGTGTGGGAGTGCTACCAATGCAATGTTCAATATAAGTTATATTTCAGTGAGACATAACTCCTGTAAAAATGATTGATAAGAGCTGATTTTTGAACTCACTTAAAATATTGCTAATATAAACATTTGATACAAATTTCATAACAATCCTACAAGAAAATTTAGGTGTGAGACTGCTAACAATGCAATTTTCAATGTAACTAATATTCTTAATGGGGCATAACTCTAAGAGTCTTTAAATAAATGTGGATAGTGTCCACATGTGGACACAGATGATGCCCCCGCTTGCATATCATATAGTTATAAAGGGACATAACTGAAGAACGGTAAAAGTGACGCTACCCAAATTTGAACTTGATCTGAGTTTTGTGGTAATAAGCATTGTGTGTAAGTCTCATAACATTTGGTTGAGGCTAACTTAAGTAGAGAACAGAAACTAAAAATTCAGCAATTTTTCTATTTGTAAACACGCATAACTCTAGAAAGGTTGTGTATAAGTTTTATAACATTTGGTTGAGACAAACTAAAGTCTCCACCAAATTTCGTACTTAATCTGTATTATGTAGTCATAAGCATTGTGTATAAATTTCATAACATTTGGTTGAGGCAAACTAAAGTTAGAAAACGGCATAGTTGCCAAGTGACATGATATTCGCGTGTAATACACGCTTTTTCAACGGTTTACCAGCGAGGATTTTGTCACATTTCCGGTCATAAAAGTGACATGATCATTAAGTACTATCAAAACAACCCCTACTTTAATACCTTCTCATTTTAATCAAGGCTAATTAGTTGTCGAACAGCTGAAATTTACCTGTTCAGGTGACAGGTAAACTATTTTGAACAGGACATTGATCGGTCTATTCAAAGTTATTTTCTTACATTTCAGCGGTTTGCATCTAATTAATTTAGTCAAAAAGATTTAAATTATCAGAAATACGTTTACAAATATGATTTGATGGAAAAATTAAAAAGGTGAAAATGAAAAATCGTCATAACCACGTTGTTTGAACTCTGTTTGAACTAGTACATGTGTGCGCAGGTGTGAAATTTAATTATGCATCGTAATTTCTTCAAAAAATGCTTAAATTGTCATTGATACCTTTATCTCACGTTTATTTCGAATATTTTCTTGAAGAAATAATGTAGAAAGAGCTACGTACACTCATTCATGCTTTGCAAACGTACACGGAATTTACGTATCCGTCTCTGGTCCATGTTTTACCATTGTCAAGATAACATCCGGTATTAGATTTTAACGAATGTAAAGTTTTTGACAACGTTATTTTGCACAAATAAAGAGTCTAAGGCAGATATACGTACGCTGATGTTGCACACTTCGAATGATGCACTGCCAATTTAACAGTTTACGTCAGAACTTCGAATTTGAATCAAAGAAAGTTTAATATTGTTTTTTTTTAATGTCAATCATTGGGATGGCCAACTCAGCAACTGAATACCATAATTGCCTTTTGTTTATTTAGTCTTAAGGGATTAAAATCGGGATAATATATAAAATGTCCGGCTGGCTAAAAATAATTTTGGAAGCCCTGGTTATTAGACGATAAATACAAAGAATTCTGGGGTCAGTCTTTTCACCACCGAACACCACCGCACGACGCCGAACACCACTGAACACCCAAAAAGACCACTAACCCTTAAGAAAAACAGTAATGTTACACAATAAAACAATAAAATCGATTAAATTACGTAAATTTTAATCCTATTCTCATGTTTTCACATTTTATGTGCATTAGTGATGTTAAAGTTGAGAATCAAAATTTAAAAAAAAAAAACGCTTCCGGATCCAGCAATATTTTTTCTGGATTTGCATTGTCTGTATTTCATTGTATATTATCTTATGGTCTTCACTTTTCAATTATTAGAAATAAATTGTTCAAATAAGTTAAAACATTTTATTTAATGAGAAATTATCACAATAATTATATTTAAAAAAATGTTAGACTTGAAAGTGTACGGTTCTGACAACAGCCCTGCAAGACTGTCCTTTTTGGTTCTCTTGTTATCATTTCTTATTATTTATGTATATATATGTATAAACATATTCATCCTCGTTCAGAAGGTAAGTAAAATATATAAATATAAAGATGAAAACAATATATTTAGGTGTGTTAGATGGTATTTTAATGTGTTCGGCGGTGTGTGGTGGTGTTCGGTGGTGAAAAGACCTACCGAGAATTCAGAAGTAATTGTTTGGTCGCCATTGTTTTAAATTCTATCATGATGGACGAACAGCAAAACCCTTTAAGGTAAGTAGTTTGTGATTAGTTTTTACGATTTTGTGACAATCTTTCTTTCAAATTAACTTAGGGGAAATGTCCATAGAAAGAGGTCGCTTTCAGGGCTTGTACCGTCGCCTATAGATAAGATAATTGCTAAGCAAAAACGATGTGTATGTACCAAGATTCAAGATTTATAAATTATATTTGGGAGTTCGAGTTTAAATGATCAAGGGAAAAGTAACGCATAATTTGTGCACCCTATGTTGCAATCATAACAATACATGTGAGAGTAGAACAACAATGTAGCTATTTGATTAGGCATTTAACATGTTTAATCAATAATGGACTCATTTTGGTAAATCAAATTATAAAATATTTTTCTTTTTCAGTTTCATATCTGGCCAACAGATTTCAACAGGTCATAGGAGATGGAAATATCACTGAACTGTTGGATCAGTTCCTATAGTACCAGCTGTCTTCTGATGAACTACCCAGTCTTGACCAGGCAATAGCAACATGTATAGTTTGTTGGAAGCAAAGGCAGTGATTAAAGATGACATTTTAGATGGCAAAAAAAATTGTTATGACACTTGTTCAAAGCTTGATAAAGCTATTTTAGTTCAGCCAAATACCAATTCTGACTGTGAGAGAGCATTTTCAATTATAAATAAATTTACACTGAATTCTGATCAGAACTTGACAATCGTGCCTTGTTATCAAGTAAATGTAACCAAACTGGCAGTTGTTTTGAATATATATGTGCCTAGTGATGTTGCTTCAAAAGCAACAGTTGATATCAATAAAAGTTTACAGTAGACTCTTATTTATTATATTAACAAATTTGTATGATGATTACTGTGAAATTATGAACATTGTTCATATGAAAAAGTCTGCATTTACGTCACGCATTTTCACACGCTTTTCAACATGTCATGTCATGTCATTACATGATTTCTTAATGTCAGAGGTTGGCAAGTATGGAAAACGGAAACAAAAAATTTGTACTTGATCTTAGTTTTGTGGTAATGAATAGTGTATAGGTTTCATAATGTTTGGTTGGGGCAAACTTAAGTTACAGAATGGAAACTAAAAATTTTGCAATCTTTCAATTTATAAAGGGGCATAACTCAATAATGGTTAAAGTGACACTACCCAAATTCAACTTGATCTGTGTTTTATCAGTGGAAGTCAAAATTAAACATTGCATTGTTTAAAGCATTGATTGTCGTTGATTTAACTATAATCATGGACAAAGGAAGATAACTCCAATTTTAATAAAATGCTTCGCTGGGGTGCAGCTTGATACGACCGCAGAGGTCGAACCCTGAACAGTTGGGGCAAGTATGGACACAACATTCAAGCTTGATACAGCTCTGAATTTGGATTGTTATTAAATATTTGACACAGCATAGGTTTCTGACACAGAAAGAATGTGGTCTAAGAACTTGAATTTTTTTAATTTACCTATTATGGTCCAATGTCCAAAATCAAAATACATGGTTAGATTCAGCATATCAAAGAATCCCATATATTCAATTTTTGTTAAAATCAAACAAAGTTTAATTTTGGACCCCAACTTGGACAAACTTGAAAACTGGGCCCATAATCAAAAATCTAAACACATGTTTAGATTCAGCATATCAAAGAACCCCAAGAATTCAATTTTTGCTAAAATCAAACTAAGTTTAATTTTGGACCCTTTGGACCTTAATGTAGACCAATTTAAAAAACGGGACTTAAAATTAGAAATCTAAATACACGGTTAGATTTGGAATATCAAAGAACCCCAATAATTCAATTTTTGATGAAATCAAACAAAGTTTAATTTTGGACCCTTTTGACCTCAATATGAACCAATTTGATGGTGGGGCCCACAAATAAAAAATCTAAATATATGGTTAGATTCAGCATATCAAAGAACCCCATATATTCAATTTTTGTTGAAATCAAACAAAGTTTAATTTTGGACCCCAATTTGGACCAACTTGAAAACTGGGCCAAAAATCAAAAATCTAAATACATGTTTTGATTCAGCATATCAAAGAACCTCATATATTCAATTTTTGCTAAAATCAAACTAAGTTTAATTTTGGACCCTTTGGACCTTAATGTAGACCAATTTAAAAAAAGGGACTTTAAATTAAAAATCTAAATACACGGTAAGATTTGGCATATCAAAGAACCCCAATAATTCAATTTTTGATGAAATCAAACAAATTTTAATTTTGGACCCTTTTGACCTCAATATGAACCAATTTGATAGCGGGGCCCACAAATAATAAATCTAAATACATGGTTAGATTCAGCATATCAAAGAACCTCATATATTCAATTTTTGTTGAAATCAAACAAAGTTTAATTTTGGACCCCAATTTGGACCAACTTGAAAACTGGGCCCATAATCAAAAATCTAAATACATGTTTAGATTCAGCATATCAAAGAACCCCATATATTCAATTTTTGTTGAAATCAAACAAAGTTTAAATACTGGACCCTATCTTGGACCAACTTGAAAACTGGGCCCATAATCAAAAATCTAAACACATGTTTAGAATCAGCATATCAAAGAACCCCAAGAATTCAATTTTTGTTAAAATCAAACTAAGTTTAATTTTGGACCCTTTGGACCTTAATGTAGACCAATTTAAAAAAACAGGACCCAAAATTAAAAATCTAAATACACGGTTAGATTTGGAATATCAAAGAACCCCAATAATTCAATTTTAGATGAAATCAAACAAAGTTTAATTTTGGACCCTTTTGACCTCAATATGAACCAATTTGATAGTGGGGTCTACAAATAAAAAATCTAAATACATGGTTAGATTCAGCATATCAAAGAACCCCATATATTCAATTTTTGTTGAAATCAAACAAAGTTTAATTTTGGACCCCAATTTGGACCAACTTGAAAACTAAGCCAAAAATCAAAAATCTAAATACATGTTTAGATTCAGCATATCAAAGAACCTCATATATTCAATTTTTGCTAAAATCAAACAAAGTTTAATTTTGGACCCTTTGGACCTTAATGTAGACCAATTTGAAAACTGGACCCAAAATTAAAAATCTAAATACACTGATAGATTCGGCATAACAAATAAATAAATGTGATCAAAGATTTTACAAATCTAATGACCCATACTGTGCAATTAAAGATTACTTCTTGAAATTTTTCAATATTTGAAATTTGAAAAAAAAAAAATATTTGAAGAATAATTCTTTTTAATTTCTGAAATCTGAAATGAGAAAAAATTGACCCCCCACAATTTCTTTTTATCCCCCAAAAAATTCTTTCCCTCAAGATATGGTCATAATTTCAATTCAAATTTCCAATGGAGTTGGCAACCATAATTACCCATTTAAATTTACCATAGTGCTAACTTAATCTATTTTATAATAGAATTAATAAAATGCTCCGCAGGGCGCAGCTTGATACGACCGCAGAGGTCGAACCCTGAACAGTTGGGGCAAGTATGGACACAACATTCAAGCTTGATATAGCTCTGAATTTGGATTGTGATTAAATATTTGACACAGCATAGGTTTCTGACACAGAATGAATGTGGCCTAAGAACTTAAAAATTTTAAATTGGACATTCACCTATTATGGTCTAATATCCAAAATCTAAATACATGGTTAGATTCAGCATATCATAGAACCCCAAGAATTCAATTTTTGATGAAATCAAACAAAGTTAAATTTTGGACCCCGATTTGGACCAACTTGAAAACTGGGCCCATAATCAAAAATCTAAATACATGTTTAGATTCAGCATATCAAAGAACCCTAAAAATTCAATTTTTGTTAAAATCAAACTAAGTTTAATTTTGGACCCTTTGGACCTTAATGTAGACCAATTTGAAAACGGAACCAAAAATTAAGAATCTAAATACACAGTTAGATTCAGCATATCAAAGAACCCCATATATTCAATTTTTGTTGAAATCAAACAAAGTTTAATTTTGGACCCCGATTTGGACCAACTTGAAAACTGGGCCCATAATCAAAAATCTAAATACATGTTTAGATTCAGCATATCAAAGAACCCTAAAAATTCAATTTTTGTTAAAATCAAACTAAGTTTAATTTTGGACGCCTTTGGACCTTAATGTAGACCAATTTGAAAACGGAACCAAAAATTAAGAATCTAAATACACGGTTAGATTCAGCATATCAAAGAACCCCAATAATTCAATTTTTGATGAAATCAAACAAAGTTAAATTTTGGACCCTCTGGACCTCAATGTGGACCAATTTAAAAACGGGGCCCAAAATCCAAAAACTTAATACACGGTTAGATTCAGCATATTAAAGAACCCCAAGAATTCAAGAATAAAACCCCATTGAAATTGATCAAGAAATAAGCAATTTATACGAAGTATCTTCTTTTGCACAATACTGTGCAATTGAATATTTCTTGCTATTGCGCAATACTGTACAATTGACAATTTCTTGCTATTGCGCAATATTGTGCTATTGGATATTTCTTGCTATTGCGCAATACTGTGCAATTGAAGATTTCTTGCTATTGCGCAATACTGTGCAATTGAAGATTTCTTGCTATTGTGCAATACTGTGCAATTGAAAATTTCTTGCTATTGCACAATACTTATTAGATAATAATTTACACATCCTGTTTGGTGTGTATCTCCTACCATATCATTATTATTTGCTTTTAAATGTTAATCAGAAATAACCAACTTAAAATGGAAAATTTTAAAAGAAAAAAAAAAGGAAAAAAAGAAAAAAAAAAAAAAAAAAAAATCCCCCCCCCCAATTTTTTGAACCCCCTTACGATTCATCACCCCCAAACTCAATCCCAGCCTTCCCTTTGTGGTATGGTACCTTGCAGTACAATTTCAGAGAGATCCATACACTTGAACACAAGTTATTGTCTGGAAACTAGAAAAATGCTTATTTTTGGCCCCTTTTTGGCCCCCAATTCCTAAACGTTTCGGGCAATTACCCCCAAACTCAATTCCAGCTTTCCCTTTGTGATATGGAACCTTGTAGTACAATTTCAGAAATATCCAAACACTTACACACAAGTTATTGTCATGAAACTAGAAAAATGCTTGTTTTTTGCCCCTTTTTTGGCCCCTAATTCCTAAAATTTTGAGGCAATTACCCCCAAAATCAATTACAGCCTTTCCTTTGTGATATGGAACCTTGTGGTACAATGTCAGAGAGATCCATACACTTACACACAAGTTATTGTCTGGAAGTTACAAAAATGCTTATTTTTGGCACCTTTTTTGCCCCTAATTCCTTAACTGTTGGTACCATAACCCCCAAAATCAATCCCAACCTTCCTTTCGTGGTATTGAACCTTATGGTAAAATTTCATGGAGATCCATTCACTTAAACTAAAGTTAGAGTGCGAAAACCAATGTGTCTTCGGACGACGCCAACGTCATACCAATATACGACCAAAAAATTTTTAATTTTTGCGGTCGTATAAAAATATAGTGTCAAATCTTCATCAGGATTTTTTTGTAAAAAAAAAAGATGCAACATTTGCAGATTTTTTACTGGTCTACTTTTATAAATATGCATTTGTTTAAACATAATTTAAAAGCAGTGAAAGGGAAGAAACCAAAATGTTGTATTTGGATTACCTCCCTTACACTGTTTTAAATTATCTTTATTGTTCATTAACCATTACTTTATACATAATTTAAAAGCAGTGTAAGGGAGATAATTTCAATGATGTATTTGATTTATCTCCCTTACACTGCTTTAAATTGTTTTGTACTAAAGTATTTGTCCATTAACCAGGACAACCTTGTTTTTCCCCCTTTTTTGCCCCTAATTCCTAAACGGTTTGAGCCATAACCCCCCAAAGCAAATCCTAACCATCCCTTTGAGGTATGGAAACTTGTAGTATAATTTCAGAAAGATCCATACACCATTCCACAGTTATTGTCTGGAAACTAGAAAATGCTTATTTTTGGCCCCTTTTCGGCCCCTAATTCCTTAACTGTTGGTACCATAACCCCCAAAATCAATCCCAACCTTCCTTTTGTGGTATTTAACCTTATGGTCAAATTTCAAAAAGATCCATTCACTTAAACTAAAGTTAGAGTGCGAAAACCAATGTGTCTTCGGACGACGACGACGACGCCAACGTCATACCAATATACGACCACAAAATTTTTTTGCGGTCGTATAAAAATTACTCGATATATAGAAGAAAATAAATATTTTGCAATTTTTCCATTTATAAAGGGGCATAACTCTAGAATGGTTAAAGTGACGCCACCAAAATTCTTACCTGACCTGTGTTTTGTGGTAATAAGGATTGTGTATAAGTTTCATAACATTTGGTTGAGGCAAACTTAAGTTAGAGAACGGAAACTAAACATTTTGCAATTTTTCCATTTATAAAAGGGCATAACTCTAGAACGGTTAAAGTGATGCCACCAAAATTCAAACTTGATCTGTGTTTTGTGGTAATAAGCATTGTGTATCAGTTTCATAACATTTGGTTGAGGCAAACTCAAGTTAGAGAACGGAAACCAATTTTGGGACGTACGGATGTACGTACATACAGACGGACAATGGTAAAACTTAATACCCCCACCGCTACGGCGGGGGCATAAAAATACTTGATCTGCACTCATTTACGAACTTGTCAGAGGCATTGCTGATACAAACATATAATAAAAATTTCATGCCCAGTATATTCTGTCCACAGAAGAAAATTAGAAATTTATGAAAATCAAAAGGGGGCTTAAATCAATAGGTATAAACAATTCACCAAAGTTTCATGAGAATTGCTGAATTTTTAAAGAATAAAACCCCATAACTCAGATATGTAAAATGTAAAATTTATAAAATTCTAAAGGGAGCTTACATCAATAGATATAAACAATTCATTAAGTTTCATAAGAAATGCTGAGAGCATTTTTGAGTTTTTGTCCGAAAACTGGATAATTCCCTTTTTTTATGAATAAAACCCTGCAACTCGGAAACGTAAAATCTAAAATTTATCAAAATCGAAAAGGGAGCTCATGCCAATAGATATAAACAATTCATCACAATTTCTTGCAAGTTGGTGAAAGCATTCTTGAGTTATAGTCAGAAAACTGGAAAATCCCCCCTTTTTTAATGAATAAAACCCCACAACTCGGAAATGTAAAATCTAAAATTTATTAAAAACGAAAGGGAGCTCACGTCAATAGATATAAACAATTCACCAAAGTTTTATGCAAATTGGTTAAAGCGTTTTTTAATTAATGTCCGACATGTTGACGATGGACGGACAACGATATACCATAATACGTCCTGTAAACGGGCGTATAAAAAGTGAGAAGCAATTGCTGAACCATGAAAATGAGGTCAAGGATAATGAACAGGAACTTTGTATTATCAGGCATCTATATACAAAGTATGAAGCATCCATGTCTTCTACTTTTAGAAATATAAAGCTTTGTACAAACAGTTTATGTCGCTGGATTAGCATTCCTTTGTCTCATATTATTTGACGACTCACAGGTGAGACAAATAAAAACAAAATCAAAAAACACTAAATTTCTATACAAATTTGCCAAAATAAAACTAAAATCTCTTGGGAAAATAAGTCATGATGGTATATTTTTTTCTTTGAATAAATTGATAAGTTCAGTATAAATTTGACTTCCAGTAAAAATTTCTTTAAAAAATAAACAATATTAAATAAACTCATCATAGATACCAGGACTGAAATTTTAGAAAGTGATTACCAAATGAGACAACTATCCACTATGACCTCCTAGTTCAGTTCTTTGATGATTTCTAATTCTAAAAAAATAAGCCAAAGTCTTGAATGGTTGGGTTGCAATATTTGTGACCAATCAATGTAGAATGTTTACAATCATGTAAGTGCAATTACATAAAGCTTAAGGGGAAGAGGACTTTTTCTTAAAGGGAAATCACACTATTTAAAAGAGATAGAAAAAGTTAACAATTCAAAAGAATAAACCAGCCTGAATTATGATAAAATCAATCAATGAAAAACAATTAATGCAGATAGCATCCAATGACCACTGGATTATAGGCTGGATCCTGACAAGGGACAGTCACTTTAAAATGAGGACCTGTACTTAAGTGTATGTTCTGAAAACAGACAGAAAATCCAAAATGTACGATTTGTTCAAACTTACTGTTGTTGGGCAAGAATTTTTACAAGACACATGGAAAAAGATAACATCTTCTCCAGCAATGATGTATGACACTCCATAACCATCATCAGCAACAGGACCAAATCCTCCTCCTGCTGATATATGTTCTGGATGTTTCACCAGGTCTAATTTATTGGTCTGTTGATGTGGTGTCTGAAATAGATAATTTTTCCATAGTATATTTTTTACAAGGATGATTCATTGATTAGTTGTTTGCAATAAACAGTTTTATAGGTCATCACTGAAATGATGATGAGGTGTCAGAAATAAGTAAATTTAACTCTGTCTTAGTTTATCTCAGAGTATTTTTGACAAATATAAAATGAAAGAACCTTTAGCAAACAATCTCCCAAACCCAACATAACAGTGAACGCCTGGCATTGTTTCTTCTGTTTATAAGTTTTATTTGATCCAGGCATCATATTGTCGAGTTGTTGTCTCTTTGACACATTTCCCATTTCCATTCTCAATTTTATCAATAACCTAATAGTTTTTTTTTTTTTAAATGGGGACAAAATGGGATATCTTTTAAAGTACATTTTGTACCCTTCAGAAAAATGGCAATTTCAGATTTGTTCTAATTATCAAACTCATCTGAGGTTTTCCAGGTTTTGATGAGTGGTACACCATCATATAATTTGAAGAGGATCTGAGAAAAAATGAAGGAACTTTCCAAGCTATAAGAATTAATAATAAGTCCTCTCCATTTTTTTCCCCATTTTTAATTGCTTTTTTTTATAGATTTTATCGATATAAAAAAAAATACAAACGTTTTTTCCTTCAAACTTCTGCAAAGATAGCAGCTTAAAGGAAGATTTTAAAAGCATAGATAAACAAGAGGCTGTCAGAGTGACAGCAAACCAGATTTTTTAACATTTATTTGTGTCCTGGTATTTTTCAATATCACAAGGACCATAACTCCTGAACGGTAAGAGTGACAATCATCAATATTGAACTTGACCTCCATTTTGTCATCAGTAACAACATATCAAAATTTGAAAAGCCTTGGTTGAACATTCCATGAGTTAAAGCACGGACACGACTGGAAACACCATTTTTCAATCTTTCAAGAACCACAACTTCTGAATGGTGAAAGTGACAATTGTCAATATCGATCTTGACCTCCATTTTGTCATCAGTAACAACATTTTAAAATTTGAAAAGCTTTGGTTGAACAGTACATGAGTTAACGCACAGACACGACTGGAAACACCATTTTTAAATTTTTCAAGAACCATAACTCCTGAACGGTGAAAGTGAAAATCGTCATATTAAACTTGACCTCCATTTTGTTATCAGTAACAACATATTAAAATTTGAAAAGCTCTGGTTGAACATTCATGAGTAAATGCACGGACACTGTTTGGCAGCGGGAACTCAAATAATTTCAATATGTAACAATGTTGCTAGTATAACAGCATTTCGTGCAAGGCTTGCAATGGGTTGAATTAACCTCTTTATACATTAATACTATAATATTATGTTTTGAATCTTTTTTAAGCTATTTTTATTGATCATTAATACTTTTATCATATTCCTATCGAATCGTTACACATACAGTAACAGTTTATTATAAAGTAATTGTCAGATATGAAGTCATCTCATTTTTTTTAAGAAGTTGCAATGGTTGTATCATATTAAAGAACGTTGATCACATAGCATATAATAGAAATAATTCTCGGTTTGCCCATTAAGACCCCTTTTACTCAGAAGTCCAAGGGTATCCGAGCTGAAAAGTAGCACTTGCCTTTGAGACTACGGGCAGAAAAATTTCACTACCCACGTCCATTCACACAGGGAAGGTGAAACCTGAAACGCCATGTTAGAAAATTTGTCACAGCTGGATAGTAATCCCTATGTCTCACATACTGTGTCTCAGGCAAGACAAAAAACCAATGAAGGGCGGTAATGTAAGTATGAATGAAATAAAGCCACAGGTTAATTTTTTTATCAATGTGAAGTCGGAAAAATTAAAAGTCTAACTCTGAAAATCGCCAGCTGTTTCCCATAAATGTATCACATGAGTTGTGCTACCCAACCTCATGAAAATTGACGTTCAGCCTGCTGGACACCTGCCCATAAAGTACTGACCCTCAGTTTATGCCCTGGAGGTCACAAAATTTTGTATCTAAAAAAACAATGGGGTGTAAAATAGACGAAATGTACACAAAAGGTTTCTGTAATTTGTAAACAAAGTTCAATTTTACTTCCAGAAATGTGGTAAAAATTTGTATTGAAAACTTGAAAGAATGTCCTTTTAAGGTCAAATCAATCAATATTGTTTATGTTTGCATTCACAAAATCTATAAAATCTATATTTCAGGAAGAGAGGGAAGTAAAATTGAGAATGGAAATGGGGAATGTGTCAAAGAGACAACAACCCGACCATAGAACAGACAACAGCAGAAGGTCACCAACAGGTCTTCAATGCAGCGAGAAATTCCCGCACCCGGAGGTGTCCTTCAGCTGGCCCCTAAACAAATATATATACTAGTTCAGTGATAATGAACGCCATACTAAACTCCAAATTGTACACAAGAAACTAAAATTAAAAATAATACAAGACTGACAAAGGCTAGAGGCTCCTGACTTGGGACAGGCGCAAAAATGCGGCGGGGTTAAACATGTTTATGAGATCTCAACCCTCCCCCTATACCTCTAGCCAATGTAGAAAAGTAAACGCATAACAATACGCACATTAAAATTCAGTTCAAGAGAAGTCCGAGTCTGATGTACCTTTATACTTTTTTGTTCAATGAACAAAAAATTGGCTTTTTCATTATAAGTAATATTTTTTGTCATGGGTATGTTTCTACATTGTTATCATATCAATTACATATGTTACTGTTTTTAATTTGTTCATATGCTATGCAATCCAATACACAAAAAAGGTAGTAAGCACCTGCTTTTCCTATGAGGGGGCTGTCATTTTAGAAATTGGCGACCTTTAGTAGGCTTTACAACAGACTTGAAAAGCGTGACTTCATAATAGGATTACAACACTACAGCAGCACCAAGAGCGATGTGTATAAACAATAGTGTGATTTCCCTATAAGTATCTAACAAGATAACAAACAGCAGGAAAATAAGTTCCTAAGTCAGGAAAATGGGAAAAAAATCTTCAAACAATTCCATAATAGCAGGTGCACAACTCCTAAATGTGTGCAATCTTCCTGTGAAGTTTCAAGGATCTGGGTCAAAAACTTTTATCAGTTGAAAATTTGTACCTTCTTTCATAAAATTTGATAAAAACGACTAAGTTCCCTAGTCTGGGAAAATGAGAAAAAATAAATGTGGATAGCATCCACATGTGTCCACAGATGATGCCCCCGCTTGCATAGCATATAGTTATATAAAGGGACATAACTGAAGAACGGTAAAAGTGACGCTACCCAGATTTGAACTTGATCTGTGTTTTATCAGTGGAAGTCAGAAATTAAACATTGCATTGTATAAAGCATTGATTGTAGTTGATTCAACTATAATCATGGACAAAGGAAGATAACTCCAATTTTAAAATTACTTGATATTTAGAAGAAACGAAAAAAAATTCCATTTATAAAGGGGCATAACTCTAGAACAGTTAAAGTGACGCCACCAAAATTCAAACTTGATCTGTGTTTTGTGGTTATAAGCATTGTGTATAAGTTTCATAACATTTGGTTGAGGCAAACTCAAGTTAGAGAACGGAAACCAATTTTGGGACGTACGTATGGACAAGGGTAAAACTTAATGCCCCACCGCTATGGCGAGGGCATAAAAATCCTACAATATATTTGTAATCCTCTTCCCCGGCCAGCTTGTCAATCCGCCTGACATTGCCATACTATATTAAGCCTGTTTCGGACTTGAGTTGACATCTATGCAAAATTTTCAAGGGAATAGCCAAACTGATAATCTGAGTTAAGTTCAGAATTACAGAAAATTATGAGGACTTCTATTGCATATCAAAAGGAAGGTTTGATGGACATCTAACACAACATGACTAGGCCACTGAGTGGCGGGAACATCAAAAGACCAGAAGGCAAATATTTATTAAGATAAAATAAATTTCTTACTGTATGATTGGAAGTAGATTTTGGCTTAAAAGATTTCAAGCTGACAGACAAAAACATTTTTTTCCTGTGCATATAGTCTTTCAGACTCAACTTTACTACTTTTTTTTATCATGCCTTTTCATGCACTTACACTGTTGTTTTAGACCATAAAATAATCTTCAGATATTTGTGTTTTTTTAGGATAATTTGTCTCATGCACATCTTCGGCATAATTTTTCTGTTTTGTTTTAGAACAATTATTTATCACAAAAAGTAAAACTGTAAAATTGTTTCTCATAAAAAGTAAAATGAAGGAGTGATTTACCTGACTAGTAGATAATCTCCAAGGTTCACTGAGTACTTCTGTCAGGAAAGGAGAATCCTCTCCCAAGTATTTGGATACAACATACAAACAAAAGAGATGTCTGTCTATACCATGTCCTGACATAGCATCTCTATAACCTTTCTGATGCACCTCTGCTGCAACATTCATTAACTTTATACGTTCTTTATTCTAAAAATACCAGAATGAGATAGCATTAATATTCCTATCAAAGATAACTTTTATAAGAATGTTTTTAAAAGGTTTCAAAGACAGTGCAAATCGAAATTTGGTATCTTTTTAAATACACTTGTTCCATCTTTTTCTACTTATGTAAAGTTATAACTTCAAATTCAGTAGATCATGTCTAGAAGATTAATTAGGTCTCATCATAACATCATTCCAAATATGAACACAAGTATAAAAGGGGCATTCGCTGTCAAATTCATATTCACCGATTTGACCCAAACTCTCATTTTTGATTTATAACATACTAAAATGTATATATTCAAATTACAATAGTCCATAAGAAACAATTACTCATACATTGACTCGTTAAAAAGTAACAGCATTTCTTTGTATAATTTAGACTAGACACCATCTAATTATCCATCAAGATGACCTCTGAAGACTGTCCACTGTCATATAACCCGTAATAAACATAGTATAAATATAAGAGACAATCAAGCATGAGCAATTGAACGAATTTCTAGGTCTGTTTGATTTCATGTCATAGATTAAAAACCAATGTATATCATCCTTTTACCTGTATAAGAAAGATTTTTTGTGGCCGGATCAGTCAACAAAATTGTTATTTCTGGTGTTTTCCTTCTTTCACTTTTCAATGTTGATATTCTTTTCTTTTAAATGAATGAACCACATGCTGAAAACATGTGTTGCCCATCTCCACTTAAGGTTAAGTTAAAGGTTGCATGAAAACAGATTCAAACGAGGTTGAATTATTGACTTGACAGAAATGTTTACATTGTTCCAATTGTTTAAGATTTCTTATTAGATGTGTTTTTTTTTTTTTATGCTCTTGCAATAGAGAATTGATATTTGAAATTTTATTGATTTAAATTTTAAAGGGACATTAGCTACAAAAATTTGACAAAAAACAAAAGGATTTTTTTTGTTTCGAACATTTTTAAAAGTGGAATAAAGAAATAACATTTCAACAAAATAAGCTTAAAACATCAGTGGTGCATTATTGACTTGCAAGTCAATAATTCAACTCATCTGAATCCGTATTAATGCAACCGTTTAATTCTACCTTTAGAGGAGATGGGTCAGCACATGTGTTCATCATGTGGCTCATTTAGACAGATGTATTATAAACAGCTGCGCCATGAGCGCATGATACGCCTGTCGTCTTGTGTGTGAATTTTTATGCAATAATCATAAATAGTTTCTGACATATGGCCTGACATGCGAAAACCCCCTTTTTTTACAAAAAACTCAATATCTCTAAAATAAAATTTTGAATCAAAACCAAAAAGTATACAGATCTTTAGATTAATATAACTAAGAAGTGTGTAAAATTTTAAGCAATAATCATAAATCGTTTTTGAGATACGGCACGACATGTGAAAACCCCTCTTTTTTAAAAAACAAGAGTGCACACGCTGAAATGTCTCGCCTTGTTTACTAACCATTGATTTTATGTTGATAGTCCTAAATATAAAGCTTTACTACAAGTAACACATAAACTTAACATGATCCAAGAAAATGAGGTCAAGGTCAGATAAACCAATAAAGGCAACAGTAGTACACCGCTGTTTGAAACTCATAAATCGATAGAGATAAAAACAAATCCGGGTTACAAACTAAAACTGAGGGAAACGCAGAAATACATGTACACCTTACAATCATTCAATAAACCAAACATAGTTGACCTATTGCTTATAGTTTCCAAGAAACAGTCTTAACCAAGAAAACTTAACATTGACCAATGAACCATGAAAATGATGTCAAGGTCAGATGAACCTTGCCAGACAGACATGTACACCTTACAATCAATTTATGCATTAAATATAGTTGACATATTGCTTATAGTATCTAACAAACAAACTTAACCATGAAAACTTAACATTGACCAATGAACCATGAAAGTGAGGTCAAGGTCAGATGATACTTGTCAGACAGACATATACACCTTACAATCCTTCCATACAACAAATACAGTTGATCTATTGCTTATAGTTGAAGAAAAAGAGACCAAAACACAATAAAATGCTTCGCTGGGCACAGCTTGATACGACCGCAGAGGTCGAACCCTGAACAGTTTGGGCAAGTATGGACACAACATTCAAGCTTGATACAGCTCTGAATTTGGATTGTGATTAAATATTTGACACAGCATAGGTTTCTGACACAGAAAGAATGTGGTCTAAGAACTTGAATTTTTTTAATTTACCTATGATGGTCCAATGTCCAAAATCAAAATACATGGTTAGATTCAGCATATCAAAGAACCCCATATATTCATTTTTTGTTGAAATCAAACAAAGTTTAATTTTGGACCCCAACTTGGACAAACTTGAAAACTGGGCCCATAATCAAAAATCTAAACACATTTTTAGATTCAGCATATCAAAGAACCCCAAGAATTCAATTTTTGTTAAAATCAAACTAAGTTTAATTTTGGACCCTTTGGACCTTAATGTAGACCAATTTAAAAAACAGGACCCAAAATTAAAAATCTAAATACATGGTTAGATTTTGAATATCAAAGAACCCCAATAATTCAATTTTTGATGAAATCAATCAAAGTTTAATTTTGGACCCTTTTGACCTCAATATGAACCAATTTGATAGCGGGGCCCACAAATAAAAAATCTAAATACATGGTTAGATTCAGCATATCAAAGAAACCCCATATATTCAATTTTTGTTGAAATCAAACAAAGTTTAATTTTGGACCCCAATTTGGACCAACTTGAAAACTGGGTCAAAAATCAAAAATCTAAATACATGTTTAGATTCAGCAAATCAAAGAACCCCATATATTCAATTTTTGTTAAAATCAAACAAAGTTTAATTTTGGACCCTTTGGACCTTAATGTAGACCAATTTAAAAAACGGGACCCAAAATTAAAAATCTAAATACACGGTTAGATTTGGCATATCAAAGAACCCCAATAATTCAATTTTTGATGAAATCAAACAATGTTTAATTTTGGACCCTTTTGACCTCAATATGAACCAATTTGATAGCGGGGTCCACAAATAAAAAATCTAAATACATGGTTAGCTTTAGCATATCAAAGAACCCCATATATTCAATTTTTGTTGATTTCAAACAAAGTTTAATTTTGGACCCCAATTTGGACCAACTTGAACACTGGGCCAAAAATCAATAAAATGCTCCGCTGGGCGCAGCTTGATACGACCGCAGAGGTCGAACCCTGAACAGTAGGGGCAAGTATGGACACAACATTCAAGCTTGATACAGCTCTGAATTTGGATTGTGATTAAATATTTGACACAGCATAGGTTTCTGACACAGAATGAATGTGGTCTAAGAACTTTATTTTTTTTAATTTACCTATTATGGTCCAATATCCAAAATCTAAATACATGGTAAGATTCAGCATATCAAAGAATCCAAAGAATTCAATTTTTGATGAAATCAAACAAAGTTTAATTTTGGACCCTTTTGACCTCAATGTGGATCAATTTGATAACGGGGCCCAAAAATCAAAATACATGGTTAGATTCAGCATATCAAAGAACCCCATATATTCAATTTTTGTTGAAATCAAACAAAGTTTAATTTTGGACCCCAATTTGGACCAACTTGAAAACTGGGCCCATAATCAAAAATCTAAACACATGTTTAGATTCAGCATATCAAAGAACCCCAAGAATTCAATTTTTGTTAAAATCAAACTAAGTTTAATTTTGGACCCTTTGGAACTTAATGTAGACCAATTTAAAAAACTGGACCCAAAATTCAAAATCTATATACACGGTTAGATTTGACATATCAAAGAACCCCAATAATTCAATTTTTGATGAAATAAAACAAAGTTTAATTTTGGACCCTTTTGACCTCAATGTGGACCAATTTGATAACGGGGCCCAAAAATCTAAATACATGGTTAGATTCAGCATATCAAAGAACCCCATATATTCAATTTTTGTTGAAATCAAACAAAGTTTAATTTTGGACCCCAATTTGGACCAACTTGAAAACTGGGCCCGAAATCAAAAATCTAAATACATGTTTAGATTCAGCATATCAAAGAACCCCAAGAATTCAATTTTTGTTAAAATTAAACTAAGTTTAATTTTGGACCCTTTGGACCTTAATGTAGACCAATTTGAAAACTGTACCCTAAATTAAAAATCTATATACGCCGTTAGATTTGGCATATCAAAGAACCCCAATAATTCAATTTTTGATGAAATAAAACAAAGTTTAATTTTGGACCCTTTTGACCTCAATATGAACCAATTTGATAGCGGGGCCCACAAATAAAAAATCTAAATACATGGTATAAAAGAACCCCATATATTCAATTTTTGTCGAAATCAAACTAAGTTTAATTTTGGACCCCAATTTGGACCAACTTGAAAACTGGGCCCATAATCAAAAATCTAAATACATGTTTAAAATCAGCATATCAAAGAACCCCATATATTCAATTTTTGTTAAAATCAAACTAAGTTTAATTTTGGACCCTTTGGACCTTAATGTAGACCATTTTGAAAACTGGACCCAAAATGAAAAATCTAAATACATGGTTAGATTCAGCATATCAAAGAACCCCACATATTCAATTTATGTTGAAATCAAACAAACTTTAATTTTGGACACCAATTTGGACCAACTTGAAAACTGGGCCCGAAATCAAAAATCTAAATACATGTTTAGATTCAGCATATCAAAGAACCCCAAGAATTCAATTTTTGTTAAAATCAAACTAAGTTTAATTTTGAACCCTTTGGACCTTAATGTAGACCAATTTAAAAAACGGGACCCAAAATTAAAAATCTAAATATACGGTTAGATTTGGCATATCAAAGAACCCCAATAATTCAATTTTTGATGAAATCAAACAAAGTTTAATTTTGGACCCTTTTGACCTCAATATGAACCAATTTGATAGCGGGGCCCACAAATAAAAAATCTAAATACATAGTTAGATTCAGCATATCAAAGAACCCCATATATTCAATTTTTGTTG